GAAGATATTAAAGATAAAAATCCAGCGTTTGTTTTCTGGGAACAGGCACACACACACGGTGCAGTGTTGAATACTAAGAAGCGATCAGCATTTAAGAGACAAAACAACTGCAAACAACTTGCCCCACTATATCAGGGCTTTTAAAAATGTGCCCTCATGTTTCAGATATTCTAGTAGTCACAATTCCATTAATTGTATTGAAACTATAAGTGATTTGAACCAGGTGACTTTACCATGAAAGCTAGAAATGACGTACATTGGATCTACCAGTACTCTAAAGAAATTAAGATGTATCGTTTCTGTCTGTAATATTATTATTTTATAGTGGACTTATCAGGGAGAACTTCTTCCATTAAATGTTTGTTAGTTAAGTTTATTTCAAGCACACAATGAAAGAGTATATATCAAGTCAGTGCTTTAAGTGGCCAGTACTGGCACTTCCAAAAATAGCTGTTGTGCGTACCGCCACCTCTCTGTGCGCAAAGCGCGTACTTTTGGCGTACCGGTACTCAGTCTATGACCGGTACGCTCATTCGCACATCTGTTTTGATTCTTTAGCTGCTCCACTGCTTTCTGAACGCCTTTCACACTGCGGGCTTCTTCGTCTTCGCCTTCGTCAGGACTCAATGACTACAGACCTGTAGCACTTACGTCTGTCGTCATGAAGTCATTTGAACGCCTGGTCCTCTCCCATCTCAAGTCCCTCACCTCCCCCCTCCTGGACCCCCTGCAGTTCGCCTACAGAGCCAACAGATCTGTAGACGACGCCATTAACCTGGCCCTCCACCACATCCTACAGCACCTGGACTCCCCGGGGACCTACGCCAGGGTCCTGTTCGTGGACTTCAGCTCTGCCTTCAACACAATCCTGCCATCCCTGCTCCAGGACAAGCTCTCCCAGCTCAACGTGCCCGATTCCACCTGCAGGTGGATCACTGACTTCCTGACGGACAGGAAGCAGCGAGTGCGTCTGGGGAAGAATGTCTCGGACTCTCGGATTATAAATACAGGAGCCCCACAGGGCTGTGTTCTTTCTCCCCTGCTCTTCTCCCTGTACACTAACTACTGCACCTCCAGCCACGACTCCGTGAAGCTGATCAAGTTCGCGGACGACACCACCCTCATTGGACTCATCTCCAACAACGATGAGTCCGCCTACAGGAGGGAGGTGGACCGGCTGGTGTCCTGGTGTAGTGGTAACAACCTGGAGCTGAACGCCCAGAAGACAGTGGAGATGATTGTGGACTTCAGGAAGAGCACTGTCCCCCCGCCTCCACCCTCCGTGATGGACTCCCCCATCACCTCTGTGGAGTCCTTCCGTTTCCTGGGCACCACCATCACCCAGGACCTCAAGTGGGAGCCGACCATCAGCTCCCTCATCAAGAAGGCCCAGCAGAGGATGTACTTCCTGCGGCAGCTCAGGAAAGCCAAGCTGCCTGCACAGATGTTGGTGCAGTTCTACACGGCCATCATCGAGTCCATCCTCACCTCCTCCATCACCGTGTGGTTCGCTGGAGCCACAGTCAGGGACAAACAGAGACTACAGCGCATTGTGCGCTCTGCAGAGGAAGTGATCGGCCGCAGCCTTCCATCGCTGCAGGACCTGTACGTCGCCCGAGCTCGAGGCCGGGCTGGTCGTATCACAGCCGACCCCTCTCACCCTGCACATGGACTATTCCAACCACTCCCCTCAGGCAGGAGGCTGCGGTCCATCAGGACTAGAACCTCCCGCCACAAGAACAGTTTCTTCCCCTCTGCTGTTGGACTCTTGAACACTTCTTAACCTGTCCCCCCGCCCTTTTAAAGTCACTTTACTGCCCATCATACGTCACTTTACTTCACTGTACTGCTGTCACCTTACATTGTGTGCACCATGTGCACTTGTATATTGTAAATAGTAACTGTAACTCTATTTTAAATTTATTCTTTAGAAGTGTTTTTTATTCTTACTCTTATTTTTATTATCTCTTTTTGACTGTTGCACTGAGCCAAAGCAATTTCCTACTCTGTGACCTCCTGTTACTTACGTGGCAATAAAAAGGATTCTGATTCTGGTCTCACCAAGAGCAGAGACTATATTACCCATAACTTTTATGGGGGGAAGGTGCATGCGTCACTTTGGCCGCTGTAGACAACCGATCCATGGTTAAAATACAATGAGCACTCACGCCCCGTACACACCGGGAGTGCAGCGAGTGAGAGCGGCTCTTCTCACACCGACAGAGCGCAGAGACCATGGACTGATGCTCTCACTGTGTGCAAGTTCCTTGCTGATATAACGGGCGTGCATTTTGTGCAGTGTGTACGGGCTGTTACACCTGTTAAGCCAGAATGAAATCGCTGCAGGTCAGACGCAGGCCAATGAGAAAAGGACAAACTCTTTCAACATAAAAAATACTTTCAAATCAGATTTAAATGCAAAGACTAAACTCGGATCAGTTTAATGCACTGATGTGCAGACACGGCTGGCACCGGGAGAAGTGCAGCATCCACAAACTTTGAAGCCCAAATGCAATGAAAGTGGAGCCCAAAACATGCTGCAGCCTTTTCTAGGTAAAATAATTTGCACAGTATTTCTCATTTTTCAGTAGCTCTTTCTATAGCTCAAGCATATCCCTAAACAAATGTATATAAGATAAGATTTATTGATCTCTGATGGAACATTTGGCACAGATCACTCAAGATTGTGATAAAGGTTAAAAATATAGGATAGCATATTATCCTGCATAGTTTGTGTAGGATATAATTATGTAAAATAAAAAAGTGGCAATAAATGAAAGAGTGGCAAAAGCAGTCAGTTTTGTTTTTCAGTCCTAGTGCATTAGTGACTTATTGTACAGTTTGACAGCGGTGTGGATTCCCTTGTATTAAAAACATGCGAACATTCCACTGGGCAAAAAAATATATATATAGAGTACCGGCACTTCTTTTGGGCCAATAAAAGCACTGCATCAAGTACATCAAAAACGACAAAAAACAGTGGTCGTATGAACACTGATAGCAAGACATAAAAAATTCATTGCTAATTGAACACCCCTCTCTCAGCATCAAAATATTATTAGTTCACTACCTTTGGTTTTACCATTTTTGGCCAAAAACTGCCCCCTGTGGGGAAACACGCAAACATTTTTGAGGCATTCAGAAATTTCACAAAATCAAATCAGTCAAATAACTTTTTATCCAGTCTATACAGATCCACGTAAAATTATTGATGGTATCATACGCCTTCTGTATATTTCCAATAGAATGCATTTAGTAAATTACTGAACTCAATATTTCTTCAACAGAGTTTTTTTTTTTTTTTTCCAAAAAGACTGATAGAAAGTTTTTCTAGAATTTTTGATAATTGTGGAAGCAGAGGAACCGGTCTATAGTTAATAAATTGATGTTTGTCTCCAGATGTATGGATTGGAATGACCTTTGCTATTTAAATTGGATTAGGAAATGCACCTATTTGAAACGATGAATTGCAAATATATTCAATCGGCTTTGAAATAGAACTGATCTCATTTCTTACAGCTGTCATGTCAATATTGTTACAATCATTCAAGTTTTATTCTTACATTTTGAAATAATTTGAAGGTTCTTGCTTTCCTCAATCGGAGAAAGGAACATTGTATTTACATTTCTTTCAATAAATCTGCAACCATATTGATCATTTAAGGGATAAAAAATATTCTCTGCCAGATCTTCCCCGATATTGACAAAAAAATATATATTTTCCTCCCATATCAAAATTCTTAGGATAGCATAACTGGCCAGACAATTTCTTTATTACGTTATTCATAATTTTCCGGATTTTCCTCACATCAGATTTATTGTTAGGGCTGGGCGATAAAACGATAACGATATATATCGCGATAGACATGTGTTCGATATCAATAGAGAATGGGGTCGATAGAATGTTCGATAGTTTAACTTAACTCCGTCAGGAAAAACAGGAAGAAAACACCGGAAGTAAAGCCGACTCATAAGCGCATGGCATTGTGGGGGATGTAGGCGGACGCTTCTCGACCAATAACAGCCAAGCAGGAACCGCAAAACTTTGTGGGAAATGCAAAAACAACAACAACCGCAACATGTGTGGCGTCCATGGATCTATAGCTCGTGTTTCAATGCCGTGTCAATGGTTATGCACGTACGTGCGCGGAATAACATGTGCGGCGGCAGAGGCAGTGGACAGACCCGATGTATTCGGCAAAAGCAAGAGATTAACTTTTTCCTCGGGAAGCATGTGCGGCACAGAGAGCCACACGGAGCAGCCACGGGGACACAAGACCCTCAAACAGCTAAACCAGGAGCTAAACCAGGAATAAAAAACCAGGATTAAACCAGGACTAACAACGAGGGACACAGTGTGAACATATTTCTCCAGCCTCATTCCCCCGTGACTGTAAACAAGGCTGCTAAGGTTGGTTAGCACACACGACAAATATATTTATTTAGGTAAAAAAAAAAACTCAATATATATCGTTATCGACCGATATGAATGACTTATATCGTGATATAGTTTTCAGCCATATCGCCCAGCCCTATTTATTGTTTTGAATTAATTCATTGTAATATTCTCTCTCTCACTTAGCTTTTCTGAAGAAAACTATGTGTTTTTCCTCTCAAACATATTATTCTGAGATTTGTAAATACTTTTTAATAAAAGAGAGGTTGAAATATAGTGGCTTAAAGCTCATAGACAGGATAAATTTATGAAGAAATTCAATAACTGAAAACACAAACCAAACTTCCCAGACCAAATGAACAAACAATAAAAAAAAACCTTAACAAATATCAGATACAAAATATCATTAAGAATTATAAGAAGGAAGAATTCATGTCATGAGTGATGTATCGCTGCAGAAGGATCTGTACCACATCTTTGCTCAATAAGCTTTGTATTTTTGGCACATCACTTTCCTTCTGAGGCAAGATGAATGAGGTCATATGAGTAAAGACAAGAGCAGTGCTGACTCTTCATAATGAAAGGGTCATAGTCAGTGTCTCACCTTTGAAGAAGACAAACTTGCCCTCGCTGTTCTCGTACACTGCGTCGATCTTTGGTGGCAGCCCTCTCCAGAACACACTGATGAGCATGGGGTACCCAGGCATCACTGTGTTGTCCCTCACCCGCCAAAACCAGTGGTCCTGAAAACAATCGGGAAATATATATATGGCAATGTGGCTATGTCCCACAAGCTTTTAAAACCGCTGTTATCAAACCCCTTCTGAAGACAACAAACCTGGATCCGGAACTACTTACAAGCTACAGACCGATCTCGAACCTTACTTTCATATCCAAAATCCTGGAAAAGCCTATAGCTGAACAGCTTTGCTGCCACCTGCAGGAAAATATTATGTTTGAAGTCTTTCAATCAGAATTCAGAGCTCATCATAGCACTGAAACGGCTCTAGTTAAAGTCACAAATGACTTACTACTAGCTACTGATAATGGACAAGTGTCAGTGTTGGTCCTACTGGACCTTAGCGCTGCATTTGACACAATAGACCATGGCATTCTACTGCGGAGGCTAGAATGTGATATAGGTCGGTATCACTTTTTCAATGTGAATCAAAACTCGTCACCCTACTCTAGAGTGGAATTCGGCACTCAGGGATCGGCACTTGGACCGATTCTTTTCACACTATGTGCTACCGTTAGGAAACATCATTAAAAAGCATGGAATTAATTTCCACTGCTATGCAGATGACACACCGCTTTATCTGTCGATGAAACCAAATCAGACGGATCAGTTGAAAAGGCTCTGTGCCTGCATAAAGGACCTTAAAGGCGCTATACCCGTTTCTGCAATGTTTGAATGTTTAGCACCGCCCCCCAACTCGCTCACAGGCTTCTCATTTCCCCTACACTCTCATCCCACGGAGCCACCTAGTTTTATTTGCGATCTGATACATATGCTAACATTAGCATTAGCGCAACTTCTTGTAAGCTGTGCAACAATCACTGATGAAATGGCACTAAAGCAACGCACTGCTAACACAATATATAAGTAAAAGAATACCGCTAGTTTCGCGTCCGAATGTATTAATTTAAAACCTTAGAATATATTCTAATATTTAATTATAATTTGTTATAGAGCTCCTCAAAGCAGCAGCAGCAATTCTTCCGATCATTTTTTCTTGATAACAGAACTCTCAAACCAATAATGACCGAAGCCCCAATGCAACCTCTGTTTGTAATTCAGGTGTGTGAAATACTGCCATTACTCTGCAAGTACAACAAGCTATCAGCACCTGTCACTACACACTCGTCTGTGTAGAGAAGCCAACGGAGCTAGCGGAGCTAGCCACGCTCAATAAACAAATACATATCTATCAATCAACACCATTAAACGTCAATCGGACAATACAGTACACATATACATCCTTAACACACATGCACGGACGATTTCAGAATTTGCTGTTAACGTTTTCATGACAAAAATACTGTTTTAAAGTGACAAAAAGCGATTGCGAAAAACCCGGAAGTTACCATGAAACAACTAGCTAGCTTAGCTGTTACCTGCCTAGCACGTCCCAGTGAAACCTTTGGGAGCTAACTATTTTATTTGCAGTCATTAAATACATTTGGAATTACAAGGGTTGTCTAATATTTGTTCACATTTTTTTTTATTCAATTATTTTGTTCATCATTTTTTATTTTAGAATTATATTCGAATTTTGAAGTCGAAGCCCTGGTGTTAAGCAGCGCTGTAGGGGCTAGAGGACGCAGGCTGGTCGCTGCTCGTTCTGTGCGGAGGAGAAAGAGCGGCCCGCTCAGACTCTACTCAGAACTTTTCACTGCTTGTAATTCTTACACAGCTGAATCAATTACCTCAAGTTTTCAATTAAATTATGTATTATGATACAACTTGTATGTAGTAAAAAGCATTTTTATGAACTACTTAGAAAAAAAATCGGGTATAGCTTCTTTAAAATGTGGATGACTCTTAACTTTTTACTGCTTAACCCGGAGAAAACAGAAGTGATCCTACTCGGTCCAAAGTGCCTGCGTGACTCCCTCGCCGACCCGATAATCACTCTCGATAATGTCAGTACCCAGCAACACTGTGAGGAATCTTGGAGTCGTTTTTGACGAAAAACTTTCCTTTAAGGCTTATATAAACCAAGCAACTAAAACGGCATATTTCCACTTGCGGAACATCGCTAAAATCAGGAATATCCTTCCTAAAAGTGAAGCGGAAAAACGTATCCACGCCTTTGTCACCTCAAGGCTTGACTACTGTAACGCTTTGCTGGCAGCGTGCCCTAAAACCTCTTTGAAGAGCTTCCAGCTTGTTCAAAATACAGCAGCAAGGATCTTAACAGGCACCAAAAGGAGGGAGCACATAACTCCGGTGTTAAAATCACTCCACTGGCTTCCTGTGGAGTACAGAATAAAGTTTAAAATCCTTCTCTTGGCATACAAAGCCATAAATGGCTTGGCTCCCTCTTATCTCCAAGACATGTTAATGTCTTATCAACCAAGCCGAGCACTGAGCTCGCAAACGCCAGAGGTCTGGTTGTCCCTAAGGTTTCAAAAAGCACTGTCGGTGGCAGAGCCTTCACAGTGGAATCAGCTCCCCACGCACGTTAAGAAAGCAGACACTGTCTCTACATTTAAGGCCAGGCTTAAAACACTCCTTTTCAACTTAGCATTTGGTTAGGTTGTTGTCCGGTCAGGTTTCATCCGGTCTTGGAGTCTGCGTATGTGGGACCCGGTCCGCTGCATCTTCAACCCTACGTTCTAGACTAGGCTAAAACAGTCCTCTTTAGTTAGCATATGCTTAGGAAGGTAAGACTCAGGGAAGGCTAAACTCCTTAGACTGTCAGTCAAGCTGCATAGGGAGTCAGTTTGCTGGGAGAAGTATGGTAGAGCACTATCCTCTCCTCCTTCCTACTTTATCTGTTCAGCATTATTAGGATTTTGACTGTAGTTTATTCATTGCTATTCACCCGTTGTCCCATTGTCTGTTCCATGGTACGATGACGGGACCTCTGGACCTGGCCTCCATCTACACCTGCGGACTGCCCTGCCCGACCCGCCTGGGAGTTCTTCAGTCCTGTACCGGACCTGTCCACGTTCAGCGGCCGCTGGTCCACGTTCTGTAGCTTAAGTCCTGGAGCTATAGCCCGTCCGTCCGTGGGAGCGGATCCCTTTCTCAAAACATGGGTCTCCCCGAGGTTTCTCACTTTTTCCCACTGAGTTTTCTTGTGAGTTTTTCCTTGCCAATGCAGGAGGGTCTGTTGGGCAGTTAGTGTCCAACTAGAAGGACTGTGGTGATGATCCAGGACACTTTAACATTCTTAAACATGTATGGAAATTTTTCAATATGTGTTCTATATTCTTTATGTGTTTCAACTGTTGATTCTCTGATCTGTGTTGGTGATTTCATTGGTTTTGTTAAGTCCTCTGAGATGACTTCTGTTGGGCTACAGTATACAAGAATAAAATGTATTATATATGTATATATGTATGTATATAGTCTCCATGAAGCTGTATATAGTTTCTTAAATGAATGGTGAACATACAACATTTAAATTGTTGGCCACAAGAAAATACAGAACCAGAAATTATTGATATCTTGGGTTCTGTCTTTATTGCTACACAAATGAAACCATGTTTGAGAAGCACAATCCAGTTGATAAACATAACTTTCATATGCATGTCTGATCCCAAAACAACATTTGGAACATTTGTTTTGGGCAGGACTCATGCTATTTCAGAAAGAATACATTTCAGTTGTATGGTTCATTTCCGAGAATTAATTTCAACTGAAAGTCGAAATAACTTTATGGCAAATAACAGATCACTTTGAAATCTTTTTTCAAAGTTTTGGAGAATTTTACAAGATTGATACACAAGCAAAACATTCACAAACAGTGATGCATGACCATATTGCAAATAGTCATTGTTAAAATTAAAGCTGGGGTTTCAAATTACACAATAATGAACTGCAAAATCCATGTTCCTCTCCCACAGAAATTAGGTGATAGAACCAAATTTTCCTCGCGAGGAACCAAATTGGTTGGTTCAATCACTAATAGAACCAACAGAAATGTGGTTAGTGATAGAACCAAATTTCTGTAGGCGAGGAACAAGGATATTGCAGTTAATTTTTGGGTGGATTGAAAGTCAGATACCCCAGCTTTAATTTGAATGTATTTCCATCTCCAGATCAGCTTTTTAGACAGAAAAGTTAAAAAAGAGGACTAGCCCAAACTATAAAATAGTGACTCACAGGACTCTTTCTTATAAGAATGCAAAAGATAAGACAGCATTTTGGGGTCTGATTTGTCTGTTGCGCAGTTCAGTTCAGATTGTTTATTTGAGCTCAAAGCAACACATACACAATTTATATAGAGCTCAAAAGGAGTATAGGCAGACGCAAAAAAAAAACAACTAGTATGTATTATTTAAGACCGGATAGTTTAACCAACTTTAAAGAATTTACATTGAGCCTTCACATTGTAACCCCATGCAGTTTTACACACACAACTAACATGGCATTTGAGAACATTATTTGACAAAGGTGAGGCTATGGCCCTGTTTATACTGAGACGCTGCGCAGACGTTTCCAGGCTATTAACAGAAACGACCAGGCTCCTAATGCAAATTTCTCAGCGTTCACCTGAGGTTGAAAAACGATGTAGTTCTAGCGCCCAGCCAGTAGTGGGCAGAGAAACTTTACAACACTCACACGACCCCCAGCCCCGTGCCCAGCCCCCCTCTCGGCAGTGTACTCACTTCCTGTGCCAGACCCTCAGAACGTACCAACATCATTCTGCATTTTAACAGCAGCTGTGAAAATGGAAACTGAACCTAGAGTGGTCTCGTTTGGACAAACGAAGGAGTAGAATTACCCATCATTCCCACTGATGACTGCTGTCGTTGTGTCCTTGGGCAAGACACTTAACCCCACTTTGCCCAAAGCCCCCACTGAAAGATCAAGGCTATGCTCACACTCAGAGAGCAGCCGTCCTCCTGTGGACTCACCACCTGCAGAGGGTCAGTGAGGGCTGGTGCTATGAGACTTGGGTGGCATCTCTGATTGCCACCCCCCTGACCCAGAAATGGATTAAAAGGGTAGAAAATGGATGGATGGAGGAGT